TGCTGCCTCCAGCACTCAGTTTCTCAGGACAGGTTTTAAATCTGCTTTCAAGGCACCTGCACGTTCTCACCCCGAGTTTCTGTGCAGCAAGTGGGGAGTTGCCATTTCTGTTTTACAGCACTGACCAGCTGCCAGCCCACAAGCCATCCATCTGCTGTCAGGAGAGGTAAGAACCTGATTTATTAGTTTTTAGAGGGTAGAGAAAGATCCTTTTGGGTGGGATTTCTGTATGGCTGAGTGAATGGTCAGTTTTCACAGTATGTTTTCTAACCCAGGGTGGTCACAGTAGAAGGTGGTGGGGTGATCAAGGTTGGTAAGGTTTTCAAGTGAATTGTAGAATCATAGAAGAAACCCGGTTGGAAGGGACATCAAAAGATCATCTGGTCCAACCTTCAAGTGTCTATGTTTGAAGTCTCTGGCCATTCTGGTGGACCAGAAAACCTCCACGGGACATTGCTCACTTCTGTTTAACTTGTCTAACAGGGAGCGCAGCAAACTGACTTCCCATCTTTGCTGTTACAGCATTAGGACTGGATTAGCAGAGGAGGAAAACGTGCAAAATTCAATATTTCATCTCAGAACATGTGGATTAGTATATTATTCTGTCAAAAATTTGCCATGAAATCACTAAAGGAATGAGTAGAAAGATCCGTAATATGAGCGACCAAGCTCTCTTTTCATCTCTGTAAAACACAAAGCTGTCATTTGTTCCCCTTGATCTTCTGCCTGTTCTCTGCCTCACAAAAAATGGAAGCTGCAGCCCTCCTCCCCTGTAAGCCACCACCTGTTCCTGCAAGGACAAATGAAGAATTATCATGTTACTGTCTCCTTTTAGAACAAATATAATACAATATTAAAGGCTGTGTAAATATTAGGCACTTGTCCCTATAGAGGGTAGAAATAAATAAAAGGTCCTAAGATCCCCACTGTTTTTTCTGGGGGAAAAAATGACCGAAAAAGAAGTTTTCAGGTAAATCCATCCTAGCTTTAAAATTACTTATTTTTAAGCTCCTAAATTGAGTTTTGATCTTTGTGTATATTTTTGTTTTCTCTTAAAATCATAGTAATTTTACAAAAGCAAAAAGAACATGATAGAAATGGAGCTCTGTCAGTGTGCTGTGGAGCAGCATTGCTCTGCTTTCGCAAGGCACTGTAGCCATTTATACCTGGATCGAAGAACTCACTGGTTTGGCCAATAACTGTGTCAATAATACAATAATGCAACAATAATGCAATAATACAAACATTTTAGAGACTGAAACTGAGACATCAAGATGCTCGAGTTGTCTGCACATCACTCAAGGAAGGGGTGAATGAGCCTTTTGAATTTTCTAAATTAGCGTTAGCTGGGAAGAAACTGCATCATAACATTTTCAAGTGATTTTTACAAGAGTGCCTAAGCAGCTGCAAGAAAGGTTGAGGTTATTAACTCCACAGTTACAGAACCTAAATACTTAACTACTAAATGACTGTGGAATATTTCAAATGCCAATTCAGTGCAGTGGACCCTAAGCCAAATGATATCCTAAAATACAATTTTCACTTTTTCTATCAATATTGAAACCTGCTTACTGAAAAATATGCAATTGCTTCCAAAAAAAGCTGTGCATAGAATTAATATATTATCTTTCTTTTCTCATAATTTTTACTATTGACGCATGCTTAATTCTGTCATACTTAAGCAACCTGTCCACTCTTCCCCACCAGACACCTCTGCTGACGAGCCCCTCAATAGAGCGCAGCCATGGCCTCTGGAGATGCTGAGATGGCTGTTTTTGGGGAGGCAGCTCCTTACCTCCGCAAGTCAGAGAAGGAGAGAATTGCAGCCCAGAACAAGCCTTTTGATGCCAAGTCATCTGTCTTTGTGGTGCATCCTAAGGAATCCTTTGTGAAAGGGACAGTCCAGAGCAGGGAGGCTGGGAAGGTCACTGTCAAGACCGAAGGGGGAGAGGTGAGTGAAAACCAGGATTGAAGGTCACCATTTGTCTTAAAATGATACAGTAGTGTGCACTTCAGGAATAATCTTCCTTTTCTCTGCAGATAATATTTGAAATATGGAGTCACGTTTACATAATATATTTCAGCTGAGTAAACTAGAATGCCCACCTTTAAATGAGATAAAGAACACTGAAATCGTGCTGGGAATGTTGTAGAGAGAAGTCTAGAAATTAAGTTTTGTAGATTAAAACGTGCAATGGGAAGCATAATTTGCAATGCTACAGAAGTGGTGCTGCTCTCTCAACAAAAAAGCACTACTCTTTATGAAACTCTTTATGAAACTTCAGTGCATAGGTAGTAAGAATAATAGAATCATAGACTGGTTTGGGTTGGAAGGGAACTTCAAGACCATCCAGTTCTAACCCCCTGCATAGGCAGGGACACCCCCCACCAGACCAGGTTGCTCCAAGCCCCATCCAACCTGCCCTTCAACACTTCCAGGGATGGGACAGCAAAAGCTTTCCTGGGCAACCTGGGCCAGTGTGTCATTGCCCTCAGTTTTTTAATAGATTTTGATTTATCTGCATTTTAGGGGCACTAAGAAAACTCTTTCTCTCTCCCCCGCAGATCGCGAGAACCAGTCGATCCTGATCACGTACGTAGCTCCCTGCTCAGGTCCCTGTGGGGCTGCCCAGTGCCAGGGGATCTCCTGCCTGACCACACGCTCTCTGCTTCTCTTGCCTTTGGCAGCGGAGAATCCGGTGCCGGGAAGACTGTGAACACCAAGCGTGTCATCCAGTACTTTGCAACAATTGCAGCCAGTGGGGAGAAGAAGAAGGAGGAGCAGTCTGGCAAAATGCAGGTAAATGATCAGAGACTGGCTTGAATCAAAGCTTTCCTGTGTTCCTGACATGGTTTTGGCAAGGAGGCAGCAATAATTATGGTCCTGCAGGGAACGCTTGAGGATCAAATCATCAGCGCCAACCCGCTGCTGGAGGCCTTTGGGAACGCCAAGACCGTGAGGAACGACAACTCCTCACGCTTTGTGAGTTGCTGCTTGGGGAAAAATCTCTGCATTTGGGCAGAACCTCTGAATCTCAGGCTGAAATGCTGCTTCTTCTGCTGAACAGGGCAAATTCATCAGAATCCACTTTGGAGCTACAGGCAAACTGGCTTCTGCTGACATTGAAACCTGTAAGAGGCTCCTCTGGCCTGATCCCATTCCTTCCCCAGTTCCTACCTCCACGTGTGGCCTTGTGCCTGACTCTTCCTGCCTTCCTTGCCAGATCTGCTGGAGAAGTCCAGAGTCACTTTCCAGCTCAAGGCAGAAAGAAGCTACCACATCTTTTATCAGATCATGTCCAACAAGAAGCCAGAGCTAATAGGTGGGGAAGAATTACTAACTTGGAGGATAATTGCTGAAAACCTGCTCACAGTTACTTGCTTAACTATACTAAGCCTGCATGTTCACTCTTCTTTCTTTCAGACATGCTCCTCATCACCACCAACCCATATGACTACCAGTTTGTGAGTCAAGGTGAGATCACTGTTGCCAGCATTAATGACCAGGAGGAGCTGATGGCTACAGATGTAAGTAAAAATTTAAAAAGTTGTACCTATTGTCGTCTCTCCCAGGCAAATCTTTTATTTTATTGCTCCTATTGCAGAGTGCCATTGATATCCTGGGCTTCAGTGCTGATGAAAAAACAGCCATCTACAAGCTGACAGGGGCTGTCATGCACTATGGGAACCTGAAGTTCAAACAGAAGCAACGAGAGGAGCAGGCAGAGCCTGATGGCACAGAAGGTATTGGCAAAGACTATGGTTGACCTATTAGAAATAGAAGTAGCAATAATAATCTAGTGTTTCAAAGATGGAGAAAGAGAACAGTGGAAATGTATAAAAATGTGTTTATTTGGAGCTAGTATATAGGTGTGAAACAGCCATCCAAAATATACCTTCTCCAATTACTACTTAATCTTTATTTGATGTAAAAATTGTGTGTGTGTCCATAATTCACTCCTGGGATGGCACAGATCTGGATAGTGCAACCTACTTGTAGTGCTTATATTAAAGACTCATTGAGAAGGGAAAGATTTTCAGAAAATCTATTTCCGGTTGCTTTTTTAAAGAAAATGGAGCCATTAGATTCAGTGTTAGAATTTCTCTTTCATAAATCACATGCTATTAAGGAATTTTGCCCAGGTAAAAGGGAACTTCCCTTCAATATCTTTCTTCTCCTTTAGCAATTCAAACCCATAACTGTCACTGCATACTAGTATTAATTGAACATCAGTCTGTTGCATCATTCTCCTTTACGAAAATACAGGCAGCCCAAGTATGTCAGTGTATGTTTTGTATTACACTCAGGAAACCAGTTCTTGTGTTTTGTTGCCTGGCTTATAGATACCAATTAGCAGAATTTGATCACAAGGATATTTAGTACTGTAGTTGCTTTAGAAGGGGTTAATCACTCAAAATGCTGCATGTCTTGTTAATCTTAATTTTTTTGTGTCTTTATCTTTCTGCTTAGTTGCTGACAAGGCTGCCTACCTGATGGGTCTGAACTCAGCAGACCTGCTCAAGGCTCTCTGCTACCCCCGAGTCAAGGTTGGGAATGAATATGTGACCAAAGGCCAAACTGTGCAGCAGGTAACAACCAGCTGGTGACTGGGAACCTCTAGCTTGTATCACCTACTTTTTGGTCTAGACACTGGTTTTGTTCTGCTCCATCCTTCTTTGCATTAGGTGAACAATTCAGTGGGTGCTCTGGCAAAGGCTGTCTATGAGAAGATGTTCCTGTGGATGGTTGTTCGTATCAACCAACAGCTGGATACCAAGCAGCCCAGACAGTACTTCATTGGTGTCCTGGACATTGCTGGCTTTGAGATCTTTGATGTAAGTATTTCAGGTCTGAGAACTGCTCTTGCAGGGGAAGACTGCTATGTCAGAGGACTTCCAGGTAATATTATTCTGAAGGTTTAACATGCCAGTTTTTCTAATGTTCTCGAAAAAAACCCTTCCTTTTCTTTTGTACCACAGAACAAAATCCTCAGAAATTTCATCAGTACAGCAAAAGAGCTGTTGTTTGTGTAGAAGTACTAAATAGAACTTTCTATGTTGTAATTTGAGGTTAATGTTAATGACTAAAAAAACCCCAACATAAGTACAATAATTTTATATAAGAGCTTCTAAAGCAGAACTAGAATTTGGAAAACAATTGGCAAACGTGTAACAGATTGAAGATGCGTAAATTGCTTAAATGACCAAGGAATGAATAGGTAAATATTTAATAAGAAATATCAATTGTTTAAAAATTGGGGACCAGGGCATACACTCCTCTTTTTGACTGAACTGAAAAATGCCACTTGATGACTTTTAGGAGATTCACCAGGAATATCTGCTCAGGAAAATCTCCATTTTCATTATGTAAGAATTTCTTTGGAGATCTGCACCTAGGTCCTGCTGCAGTGTGGTCCTTATAATACAGTTGTGTTTTAACTGTGGAGATTTATAAAGGGGTTGAGGATGAACAGGAACTGTGCAAGTTGATAATAGGTGGTTGTGGTTTTTTTTTCCACTGGGAAGTTCAACAGCCTGGAGCAGCTGTGCATCAACTTCACCAATGAGAAACTGCAACAGTTCTTCAACCACCACATGTTCGTGCTGGAGCAGGAGGAGTACAAGAAAGAAGGAATTGAATGGACATTCATTGACTTTGGGATGGACTTGGCTGCCTGCATTGAGCTCATTGAGAAGGTAAATTTTTAATTCAAAATACCTGGTATTTTCCAGAATTCATTCTTTTAAATTGAAAATTGTTAAATAGTATGTTTTTAGAAAGATCCCCTCTGTGGTTAGTTTCATGAATTCAGTTTTAGTTGAAATATCTCTCAGTCTGTTCTACTGTTTATTATGCATGACAGATATTACAAACCCCACAAGTCTTTCCCCACCCACCTTCTCTTTGAAAGGTAATTCCACCTGCTTGATTAAAGGCCTTTTTTTTTTTTTTTTCTTTTCAAAAACACAAAGCAGCTCCTAGAAGAAAATAAAAATATTTTCTTAAGTTTCTGGAATAAAGTTATCTGGACTATACATTTTTTCTACGTTGTTCGTAGTAAAGTATGTGCAGACCAATACAGTCAGTGACTGACCTCTGAATACAAGAAACTGAAAGAGATTTCCTGTACTTCCATATAATGTAGGGAGCTTGTTAAAAGCACAAAAGCTGAAGTTAATATGCAATGGACACCTTTCAGAAAGACATTTTAAAATATAATCTTTCTCCTCCTGATTTTTAACATGTTTTTTCGGCATAAACCCCAGTCCTGTATCACTGTGCCAAAATCTGAGCCAAGCAGGTGAATCTTTTAAACTCACTTTGTAGAAAGAAATCATCTCCATGGCAAGAGTATTGGTTTGTTTCTCAGCTTTCTGTCTTTTACTACATTCCCTGTAAGATCAAGTTACTCTACATGCATTCCCTCATCTTTATTTTACTATTTCCCAGCCCATGGGCATCTTCTCCATCCTGGAAGAGGAGTGCATGTTCCCCAAGGCAACTGACACCTCTTTCAAGAACAAGCTCTATGACCAACATCTGGGCAAATCCAGCAACTTCCAGAAGCCCAAACCTGCCAAAGGCAAGGCTGAGGCCCACTTCTCCCTGGTGCACTATGCTGGCACAGTGGACTACAACATCACTGGCTGGCTGGAGAAGAACAAGGACCCTCTGAATGAAACTGTCATTGGGTTGTACCAGAAATCATCAGTGAAGACCCTGGCCTTACTCTTTGCCTCCTATGGTGGAGCAGAAGCAGGTTAATTTTCTAAAATTGTTTTGAGGGTTTTTTTTCTCCAACATTAACAATATGTAAAAATGCAACAAAAAAAGGATAATGTTAAAATCACTTACTGTTTTGGCAGAGGCTAGTAGTGGTGGTGGTGGTGGTGCAAAGAAGGGTGCCAAGAAGAAGGGTTCTTCTTTCCAGACTGTCTCGGCTCTTTTCCGGGTAAAGCGTGAGTTTCATTATCTGAAAGTGACATGAACACAGTTTAAAATCTAAGCTATCTAATCTCCTGTTCTTCTCATGATCTTGGTTTTACAATGAGAGAAAAATACGTATTAAGTGAGCAGAACCTATTCACTGCCTTTTCCTAGTAATAGTCCATTCACATTTGGGATTTGTTCCAAACAGTCTTCAGGTGACCACCTGAAATTCTTTTAAAAGATCACTTACATTATTTGTGAAAAATAAATTTTGAATTAGAAACATTCTTGCTCCTAATATTCATTATGTTAGCACTTTGGCATATAGATACAGGATATATAGAAATGAATTATTTTAATCTAAGCTGCTACATATGATCCCTCTAGGAGAACTTGAACAAGCTGATGACCAATCTTCGGAGCACTCACCCCCACTTTGTCCGTTGCATCATCCCAAATGAAACAAAAACACCTGGTAAGATGCTCAAGCAGAAGGAAGACTTGCTCTGATACAGCCATTCCCAGGCACTGGGAATTGTGGTGTTCATTTCTGCTCTGAACTGCAGGTGCCATGGAGCATGAGCTGGTGCTGCACCAGCTGCGGTGCAACGGAGTGCTGGAAGGGATCCGAATTTGCAGGAAAGGATTTCCCAGCAGGGTTCTCTACGCTGACTTCAAGCAGAGGTGAGAGCTCTGCTCTTCTCAGAATCATTGGAGCAATGTTGGTTCATCTGCAGAGGCTCATTCAGGCTGGACTCAGTTGTCAGCTCTGTGGAGCTGTTAGGGTTCAGCAACTGGTGTGTGTTGGTTGGGAAAAAGCAGCCTTATGTTCCTGTCTCTTTTCACAGATACAAGGTGCTTAATGCCAGTGCCATCCCAGAGGGACAGTTCATTGATAGCAAGAAGGCTTCTGAGAAGCTTCTTGGGTCAATTGATGTGGATCACACCCAGTACAAATTTGGACACACCAAGGTACAAACCCTCCCTGACTCACTTGCCCTGTGCCTGTGCTTTGCTCTACCTGTCAGTGACCTGCTGCAACACTCCCTCTCCAGGTGTTCTTCAAAGCTGGGCTGCTGGGGCTCCTGGAGGAGATGAGGGATGAGAAGCTGGCACAGCTCATCACCCGCACACAGGCCAGGTGCAGGGGCTTCCTGATGAGAGTGGAGTACCAGAGAATGGTGGAGAGGAGGTAGACATTCCTCATCTTCTGTTAAAGTCACTGTACTTGGAGGGAAGTGTTGACACTTGTCATACTGAAAATATTCAATGTATATTTTCTGCTTCAGGGAGTCCATCTTCTGCATCCAGTACAACGTTCGGGCCTTCATGAACGTCAAGCACTGGCCCTGGATGAAGCTGTTCTTCAAGATCAAGCCCTTGCTGAAGAGTGCAGAGTCTGAGAAGGAGATGGCCAACATGAAGGAGGAGTTTGAGAAAACCAAAGAGGAGCTTGCAAAGTCTGAGGCCAAGAGGAAGGAGCTGGAGGAGAAAATGGTGAAACTGGTGCAGGAGAAAAATGACCTGCAGCTCCAAGTGCAGGCTGTGAGTAACATTTTTTAATTTTTTATTTTTTAATAGAGGAAATGCATAAAGATCTCATTCTTGAATAAATAAGACCTCACTCATGTCATACTGCAGAACTCTCAAATTACACAGTAAGGTGCAATTACAAAACAATTGAGGCTGAATACCATTTAACTAAATCTGTAATTCAGGCCACATTCTTTCCTTTCTCAGTCTCACTCTTTTCAAAGTGGAGTTTAAGCTAAAAAATGCCTTCTGTTGCCTACGTGCACGTCTCCGTATGAGTTCATGACATTATAGTCATTGTTGCCAATTACAGTCACCAATTGCTTTGTCTTGATTCTGTTCTTATTATAAGGAGCCTAGTGCCATTTCCCACCTGAGCTCCTTTAGCTACTGCTCTCAGAAGACACAGGTGGCATCCTATGACACCTTGTGTATTTGTCTTTAGTGCCATGTGGGCAACATTTAGGCAATACCCTTGATTTGAAGTGTCAATTTCAGGGAATGATGAACCTTGTTCTTAAGCAAATTGAGTGTATTGGCTGTATATACTTCTACAAACGGGAGTTTCAAATATTTTTTCAGTGATGGAATTATTTACATTACTCAATGCTTCTACATGCATTAGAATTTGGTACATTATCAAATACAATCACTTTCTAAAGGAGGAAAAGAAAACATCAGTTAAGTCCAAGTGAGCCATTGACATGCCTAAAGTATACAAGGTGAAATAAAATTCAGTTAGACATAGTACCTGATTATTTAAAAAGTGTCAGAAAAAAACAATAACAACTGATTAAAATCTTGTTCTAAAATTATAATTTGTAATATAATGTAATAGTACAGTAACCTTTACCCAGAAAGTAATCACAAAGGTTTTACTGATACACATGGGTTCTTACTGCATTAAATAACTTTTCCTGTATGGTTCAAACAGGAAGCTGATGCTTTGGCTGATGCTGAGGAAAGGTGTGACCAGCTCATCAAAACCAAAATCCAGCTGGAAGCCAAAGTTAAAGAGGTGACTGAAAGGGCTGAGGATGAGGAGGAAATTAATGCTGAGCTGACAGCCAAGAAGAGGAAACTGGAGGATGAGTGTTCAGAGCTGAAGAAAGATATTGATGACCTTGAGCTAACACTGGCCAAGGTTGAGAAGGAAAAGCATGCCACTGAAAACAAGGTCTGAGGCAGAAGATGTCACTCGCACTCCAGAAAAGACATGTCTTTTGTTGTACAGTGTAAAGTTTTAAACAACATATTTCATCTGCACTTGCTTCCTTCTTCTCAAAGGTGAAAAACCTCACAGAGGAGATGGCAGCCCTGGA